AACTGGCTTCCCCTTTTTTCTTTATAACAGGGGAAGGTCCATTTTTAAACACACCCGTCTGACACCATAATATCTATGTTTGCCTACGACAGCAAGACACAGAATCTAGCTATGCTTCTGAGGGTAAAATTAGACCATCAGTGGCCAACTACACTTATGGAAAACACCAATGGCCACTACAGTTATGGAAAAACTGCTTTTGGAGAGATGCTTTAGACTCAAGAAATGATGGCGTATGTTTAATCCTTTTACTCCTTACTTACATATTAGAAAACAACTGGCTATGCAGTCAAAAACAGCTTTAGATAGAAACACTGTGTTTTAGTTTCTCAAACACCTTTAATGGAGTTCAGGCCAGACCCTATCAATGTCTTCACCAAGTAGGCTAATGCCTATGAAAGAGCCATAATTTAAATGGTTCTGTCCATAAATAGCCTATGAAGTGCACGCAGCCTGAAAGAATAAATAACACATTTTATTTTTTTTTATTCTAAAATCAGTGTGAATTAAATAAAGCAGTCCATACTCCTTTCTCAGCAACATGAACATGTCACGGCTGTATGGCTTTGCATGCATACCCATCATTGTCTTACTCTGTAATTTCAGAAGGCAATTAATTTCCAGAATGAGAATATGCAAATCTCTGTTGCAGATAGCAGTAAAAAGAAGCATGTACTCAGTTCAATTATGAGATACTTTACATTTTATTGAACAAATATATACAGAGGGGTCCAAAAAATGTGTATCAGCTACTGCTCAGACCTCTCTGTGTCCAAAATGGCACCCCCTGACCCCTGATTGTACTGACAGTTTTCTGTTAGTGGAAAATTAGTATATTTGTTAGTTCTACACAACAAAATGTAACATCAAAGTGATGGCAAGTCAAATTTAGGAGATTTTTTCCATTGTGGGCAAATTGTACTTTGATATTGGTAAGGTCTTCAATCTACTCAGAGTCAGTTTGGTGCAGTAGTTAAGTGCGTGGACTCTAATCTGGGAGAACCGGGTTTGATTCCCCACTCCTCCACTTGCACCTGGCTGGATGACCTTGGGCAAGCTGTAGTTCTGATAAGAGCTGTTCTTGAAAAAGAGCAGTTTATGTCAAGAGCTCTCTGAGCCCCGCCTACCTCACAGGGTGCCTGTTGTGGGGAGGGGAAGGGAAAGGAGTTTGTAAGCTGCTCTGAGACACCTTTGGGTAGTGAAGGGCGGGGTATAAATCCAATCTCTTCTTCTTCTTCTTCTACTACTACTCTAAATTTACATTTGAATGAACCACCTTCACCCAGAGGGAGTACTTGTGATACTTAGCCATACACGTACTGAAAGGTCAAAATGAGAGCAACAATTTATGTGTCGGGGATATATAATATCTTATGATGAAAGCCACACTAAACACTGTTGCACTTACCTGTAACTGTTGTTTATCTAGTTGCCTCTGTGCAGGCACGCATGGGTACTGCGCAAGCGAGCAGGTCAGCCACCAGAAGATTTTTGGTTAGCTTAGCAACAGAGCCAGAGGGGCCCCTCCCAATCAGAGCAATTGAGGCAGTTTTCCCACCTAACAGTCACATGATCCAGGGAGGGGCCCCTCTCCCTCCTTCAGATCTCCTAGGCCACTGTTATGAGCCAGAGACAGACAAATCCCCCCCCCCCCCCCCGATAACTCACAGCAGGGTAGGACGGAGGGATTGTGCCTGCACAGAGACAACTAGATGAACAACAGTTACAGGTAGATGCTCTGGAATGTCCTTTTCCTATGGTGGCAGAAAAAGGACTGAAGGAATAGTGCCTTCCCCTTCCCTCATAATGTGACCAAATGGGCACGAAAAACAAGCTAAAGCTCTCCTCTACAAGGGGAGGGGGAGCACTCAATTTGATAGTTTCTAAAAGCTCTTGGAACCCTCTCCTGCAGCAGGCCTGCTCTCAGGCAGTTCCATGTATGCCTGCACAGAAGACACGCTGATGAACTTGTCATTTTTGGTGGAGAAGAGGGACAATCCTTCAAAAGGTACCCTTGTATGGGTCTCCGGTGGGAGACCAGTAGATCAAAGCCATGCGTGTCTCCTGAGAATTATGAAGGAAGCCATAGTGCGAACTGATGTGCTGCATGTCTGCAGGCATTCAACTGCTGTTTGGAGAGACTGAAAGCCTCAGTCTGAAATACTTTTGCTAAGGATCTTTTACCTTCTCCCATAAGCAAAGCAGGTAGGCCGCCACGATGGCCTGGTAATTTGAAATTCTCAAGTTTAACAAAGATGTGGAATAAGCTTTTCAACTCAAAACGTCTATCTTTCTGCCCTCTTTATCTGCTGGGGTTGAACGTGCATCCTCTCTTTGTTTGCCTTGCATCTCCTCTGCTATAAGAGATGAAGGTGTAGGATGTGTGAACAGGAAGAGCTATCCTTCTTGCTACACTCTGTACATGTTTTCAACTTTGCGGGAAGTGGCAGGAATGGGTGACAGTTTCTCCCACACAGATCTTGCCATTTCCAAGATTCCTTCTAGGAGAAGGAAGGCCATGGTTCTCAGTGTATCTGGATAAAGTCTTCCTATTTGTCCTTGGTCTGGCATCTATTGCCGTAACCTGAATATCTAAGGACTGTGCCATCTGCATCATTTGTTCAGAATACAGACACAAGTGTTCACTAGGTGATACAGGGTCTTGATCTTCTACAGTATCATCGGGGGATGGTTCTGAAGCCACACCACAACTCACAATGGAACTGTGGTCATCTTCTTTGGAACCATATGTCACCGGAACTGAGTGCGGGTTCCAATACAAAGGTGTTTGTGGTCTGTCTAACAACCTTGCAATGTAACTTCCTGGTGGGTGGCAACAGGAATGATGACGTTCTGGACTTGGAGGTATCCACGATGATGGAACGGGGAGTTCAGTGACACATTCCGATAGGGTGTCATCTTGAGTTGTAAGGTTGCATATGAATGTCGACCTTGGTGGAGAAGGAGTGTGCAAGTTCACTTGTTTGTGGACCTCGGTAGAAGCTCTCTGAACCATTTGCTTAGATGCCTTATGAGCCAGTGTCTTTGACTCTGATGGAATCAGATCTGTAGACACAGAACGTTGTCCCTTGTGTTTCAGTTTGGCCTTATGCTTCTTCAGAGGTGGTTCCAAAGAACATTGGGTCAGGCCCCATTCCAGAGAGACAGAATGCCTTCAACTCGGATCTGCCTCTGGAACCAATCTAACTGAAGCCATTGAAGGAGGGCGGAAAACTCAGTAGGCTACCAGTTGAGGGACCAAAACTTCAATCAAATGATTTTGCTGCCGGGGTGTTAGAAGCTGATCAAACTTTCACCCACAGGGCTGCTTTTAGCCAGGATGCGCAGGCTGCTGGGGCCTTTGGGATGCATTGTTGACAGATCTTACATGCCGTAACACTGTGACTCTCCCCAAGGCAGCGATGACAGACAGAATGTTCATCTGTCTGGGTAATCTCCATTGAACACTTTGAACAAAGACACCCTGATGAAGAAGGTTGAGCTAACAAAAAACGTTCTTCTCCAGGCGGTGGCAAAGAGAGAACTGAGGAAAGGAGAGGGCCCCCTCCCCACAGTATATGACTATTAGGCAGGAAAACTGCCTCAATGGCTCTGATTGGGAGGGGCCCCTCCAGCTCTGTTGCTAACTAAAAATCTCCCGGTGGCTAGCCTGTGTGCGTGCGCAGTACCCATGTGGGACTGCACAGAACAATGACGATGAATCATGTTACCAATTACTACTGAGAGTAATCAATAGTAAGCTGAGTAATTTAATGTGAGATAGTACTCTCATTCATATGAATAAAAACAGAAGACGGTGTAAATTAGAACAACTTCTATATTATTCAAAAGCTATGCAGCAATCTAGACACAAAAACAGAAGGAAGCGGGACTGGAGAGTTCAGAAGCAAACAAGAATAGGCTGCAAAGGCACCAGGCCAATGTCATAATGACAAGCCCAAACCTAACAGCCAATAGTCCTCTAAACCAGAGACTTATGAGTAGCCACCACCCTCACCAAAGGCAATGTGATCCCCCTGGCCCCACGCACTGATGGAGGCAACACAAACACTAAAAACTGACATAAAGACAATTGGAGCACTAGCCCCCAATCTAGGGGGTGGTGGAGGAAAGCACTGTCAAGTCACAACTGACTTATGGCGACCCCAAAGGATTTTCAAGGCAAGAGACATTCAGAAGTGGTTTGCCGTTGCCTGCCTCTGTGTCACAAGCCTAATATTCCGTTGTGATCTCCCATCCAAATACTAGCCAGGGCTGACCCGGCTTAGCTTCTGAGATCTGATGAGATCAGGCTAGGCTGGGCTATTCAGGTCAGGGACTACTCCTTAAGACTCTTTCTGTTTCAGGCCAAGGAAAAGTATACGGACTCTCTGTGATCTGTCCAGGCTGCTGAAGTACCCATCTAAGACCAAACTTTCCCCCCACTGTGTGAACAGTCCTTGGTTCTTGACTGAGGTGGCAGGATGTAACACCTACTGTTCTACACAGTGCCAATTCACATGTTATGACATCCTTATGTGTAGCTATCAGTACATATAAGTTAATCCAACAGGACAAGCAGCAGCTCTTCAGGGCCATTTCAGGTTGTTATGTTGCATGGGTGAGGAAAGGCTTAAGATACTGCTCCACATGCACAGCAGTCCCAATCCAAACTGGGCCTGTGCATGCCTGAGAATGAAGGTCTGAGCTCTTAGTGCACATCTGATAGAAAGCCTACACGGTGACATAAGGACTGTACCATAATCAGCCTTACATAACAACTACTCTTAGCAACTTACATCTCTTGCTGGAACCATTCCATCCAACTATAGGCTCAGCTTCATCAGAAATGGACAGAAGCCTACAATTAATAAGAACTGTCTGTATTGTTGGGTTCTATCTTTTGGTATACAAAAACAAAAATGAAAATGAAGTTTGTAGAGATGCAGATACTAGCTGGCCCCTATAGAGATGTTTAAAACATCCCCTAAGTAACTTACCCTGAAAGCAGTTCCTTCCTCTATAATGGTAGGCAACTGAGATAGACAAATATCCACAGCGAGGTCCCAAGCTTGCCTGGGGAAAGATACAACACATGAGCATTAGAAGTCTAATAAAATTTGTTGTGCAAAAATGTAGCCAAATCTCTGAATTATGAGACTAGCTTTATGCAAGTCGTATAGCAGGCCGGCAAGAAACTTTATTTTAGCATTGTGGTATATCATGGTCCCTGAAATGCCATTATACATTATACATCAGTGTATACACATTGCTGAAATCCTGTATATTCATATGCTTTTTCAGGTGCATCTTCTACTCCTGTCCCAGTGACCCTCCTCATAATAGTTGCAGGGTTATACTTTTTTTTTTTTTGAATATTTTTATTAACTTTTATAATTCGTAACAATACAACACAAAACAATGCATCAAAATACAACTTAATTAACTGTTATGCAACATATAATTACATATGCACTTTAGCCTCAGTCATTAATAAAAAGCAAAGTCCAGATATGCCTCTGGCAACCGATATAGGTTGTTCGGGGTCTTTGTAACATAATTAAAAAAGGAATACCATCTCAGCATAAACTTATTATCCACTGTATTGTTGTAGGCTGAAAGAATGCGGTCTGCTACTTTATCTGCAACTGCTAAATCCCAGCATTTTGATACCCATTGATTTATAGTGGGGATTTTATTTTGGTTCCATTCTTTGGCCAACAGCGTTTTGGCCGCTGAGCATAGAATAGATACTAGTTCTCTTTTTCCTACAGTGATGGTTGAAAGTGACCAATCTCCTAATAAAAAAGCTTCAGGCGTAAACGGTAGGTCAAGTTCAGTAATTTTTTGAAGTTCTATATGAATTTGGCGCCAAAATTTATTAACTTTTTGGCATTCCCACCAACAGTGTATATACGAGCCTCTCTC